ATGTGTAGACAAGATGTATAAAGTTGGCTTCCCTCACCTTGCTTCCCATACCAACATACTGGGCGCCTTGACCAGGAAATAAGCATACAATCTGGTCTTCCAAAGGGATATGATCAAAGTTAATGACATTCGATGCTCTCTTTCTAGTGTACCTATAAGATCAAAATTCAAAATAAAAAGTATATGTTCTGCACTGTACAGCTCAGCATTTTTTAGTTCGTAATTCCAATGTAAAAAGCAAAAAACAGATCGTTCGCAAACAGATCCTCAAATGTCCGCTCTTCACATCTAATTAGTAAGAACGCTTCGAGAAGATGCGCAACCGACATTAGCCAACGCATCCAATTACGAATTTTGATGCGTTCGCTCACTCGAATATGTTAATCTGAATTACTGAATGTGGAGCAGCAATAAGGTTAATGGTTTATTGGAAATTATGCTGGCTCGCATTTTCCCGTTTTACACAGGTCTGCTGTTCGACTTAAACCTTTCTATATTATTTTATCCGAAGCTGGTGTTTGTCTAATCCAAGGGTTCTTGAAATTCAAGTCTTGTCCATCTATCTCATTTTTAGTCTTCCTCGGTATCTTTTACCAAGTACTTCCACTCACAGTGCCAATTTGCTGTGCGGTTTCCCTCTCTTCTACTGTCCATATCAGCAAAACACCTTTCACATTTTCTGAACAATTGGAGCAGCCTTCATTTGTGATCTAACTATTTCATTACAAATGTGATCCTTTAGCGTGAGGTCTATCAACGCATCCTAGTCTCTTAACACCGAGCTTCTCTTCTTTTCGCTCGGCCAACATTCACTCCATACGGCACTGGCGAATGGATCACAGACGATATATCTGTGTTCTAAGATGTAGCGGCATTTGTTAGTCACAGAGGACGCCTGTCAAGCTCCTCCACTTCCCAGGCTTCACTTGTTCCGTCCGACAGCTCGTCTTCAATTTTACCTTTTGCGGATATGCACTTTCCAAATACTAGAAAAATTTCGTAATATAACTGGCCCACCACTGATGGTTCCAGAACTTTGACATTCCACCACATATTCGGTCTTTTTTGAGTTAAGCTCCAAGCCATGCAACTCCAGTCGTTCTTCCATCTTTCTACCTCTTCTTTAAGTTCTTTCTACTTTCTGCCATCAGCCACATCATCTGCGTACAGAAGAGCCAGGCGGTTTTAAGGCCTTCTATTAGTGCATCCATAAATTGACAAAGGAGAGAGTACAGAGCGGAATATCGACGTTAATGCGAAACACTTTTGAATAGTAGTCTGCCTTTTGCATGG